TGGGGAGACAACCATGCTGTGACAAAGTAGGGTTGAAGAAAGGACCATGGACTGCAGAAGAAGACAGGAAGCTCGTAAACTTCATCCTCACCAATGGACAATGTTGTTGGAGAGCTGTTCCTAAGCTTGCTGGTCTTCTTAGGTGTGGCAAAAGTTGCAGACTCCGTTGGACAAATTATCTCCGACCAGACCTTAAGAGAGGTCTTCTCTCTGATTACGAAGAGAAGATGGTCATTGGCCTCCATTCCAAGCTTGGCAACAGGTTACATATAAATCAAAACTTTTCTTTACTTTAAACCTTTATGTTTCGATATGTTCTGTTTCAAAGTTTCATTTTTTTTTTTATGTGTAGGTGGTCAAAGATAGCTTCTCATTTACCAGGAAGAACAGACAACGAAATCAAGAACCATTGGAACACTCACATCAAGAAGAAGTTAAGGAAAATGGGGATAGATCCTCTCACTCATAAACCACTCTCCATCGTTGAACAAGAACCAATTGAGCAGCCTCTTGAGGAACCAACTAGCAAGAAGAAGAACATGTCCGAAACGGTGACAAGACTTGGGGGGTCTTTGGATAATGATCAGGTCATGGCCATAAATCTTGAGTATGGCGTCGAAGATGTTCCTCTGATTGATGCAGAGTCTTTAGAGCTTATCTGCAGCAACTCTACAATGTCGTCATCCACATCCACGTCTTCGAATTCTTCCACGGAATTACAGTTTCCGGATTTCGATTGGTCGGATTACGGTAATAATGATAATAGCAATGGTGTGGACAACATTATAGAGAACAATATGATGAGCCTGTGGGATGTTGATGACTTTAGCAGTTGGGATTTGCTGCTAAATGATTATATTCCTCAGAGTTCTTCCACTTTTGGGTTGTTTTGAGTTCATTCTAAAGTATATATACTTTCTTTTGTAATATGTTCCTTTTTTCACTCTTCTTTTTTCAAGGGACATTTGAGAGAACGTTTTCCTTGAGAGTTGAGACGTTTAGAAAAATAAAATATTTTTATTTTGTACAGACAAAAAGAATTATGGAGAATTGTGTATTTGTGTCGTTACGAATGTGTGTTGTTCAATTTCTCCTATGTACTTTTGGGTTACATATTTCCACGTGTTCATGTTTGCTACCACTTAAAAGTAAAAGTAATAAATACTCTTTTGGTTTCATAAATATTAATTTTAGGAATATATATTTTTATAAATATTAGTATTTTACCAGTTTATAAATATTAATTTTTAGGTATATATATTTCATTAAAAAAAATTATCAACAAAAGATATTAGGACCATAATTTAGACAAATCTCCTTAAATTCATAGAAGTTTGAGTTTTTTTGTCATTAAAAACGTTTACAAATATATTGTTAAAAGAGGTTCACTATAAAATCTACGGAAGAGAGTTCTAACCCCAAAGTCCCCAAGAATATTATTCTATCTATATAGTTCCATTCATAAACATTAATTACACAATATCATGATCTTCGGATGTGATATCAAACAAAACTTTTACTCACCTTTTGATAAATATATTTCTTATGATATAATGACTTTGGAGTAAAGAGTTTCTAGAGGGAGGGAAGCCCCATCTATCCTTCCCAAAGACATTTCTAACATTGCTATTTAGGAAACAATGCCGTTTTCCTTAGTGATTGGCATAAGTTTTTCATATGATCTTGCAGCTCCACCGCATCTCCTTTTTCATATGACAGAAATTTTTACTATGTGCTCTCAAGTCTATCTATAAGAAATACACCAGATCTAACGTATGAGATCTACGATTTCTTATACGGAGGATCAGAAGTCTGATCTGAACGGATAGTATGAATAAATTATTTTTGAAAAAATTATTCAAGTTG